TTGTAATCAATAATGTGTTCTTATGTGCTGCCTAGTCTCCTGTATAGGTCTTTTTGGACATTGGATCCAAATTTTGTTTGGCATATCTTTGTTAAGATCCAGTTCCACACACACCTGAGCCACTGTTGGACTGGCCAAAGAAGCTGTGACATGATTTCTTTGGTAAGATCCGAATTAAGCCAGTTGGACCTAGTTAGACCTAATTTCTCTAAAAAATGGGAATTCCCATCACATGTTCCATCCCCATGATCATTTGAGCGCTGCATTGATCGTTCATGGAGTTTAAAAACCAATGGATCGGATGTCCCATTAAAACATGCCGACTTTTCGCTCTAAATACACAAAATGCTCATGAGTTATGTGGAAGAGTTTTGGCCCAAGTATTTGGTTCATCATTTGGGTACTTTTTATTTGTGGATAACGGTAAGTTCAATGGAGGAAGAAAAGTCCATTTAACATTTATTGTACACGAGTTTTAGTTTGATTGTTTTGACCTAGGTTATCATTTTTTCAGGTGCAGAAAAATCAGGCGAGAAGGAAATTGGATATTGGATGAGTTTAAATACGAAAGTTTAAATTGTCCAGCTATACATGCGTATGGTTAGATGGGAAATATGATCACTTCTCCGTAGGGATGGACTGAGACGAGTCGGCCCGACCCATGACCTTGCCCGGTCCGGTCCGGCTCCAGTAGACCTATCCCCGGTTTCCAGTTCAACTGAAACCGAAACCGGCGGTACGTTTTCGAATCGGAACCGCCGTAGCTTACGGTTCGGAACCGAAGATTCTAGGTAGCGGTTCGGTTCTTCGATTTTTGGGGAACCGGACGGTTCCGGTTCGGAACCGCTTTTTAAAATTTTTTAAATAAAAATAAAATAAAAATTAATTAAATAAATATCAGTAATGATAATAACAATACTAATATCAATATGTAGTAGTACTAGTAGACTAGTAGTGATAGTTGTTATACTTAAAATGAAAATAATACTACTAATTATAATAATTTTTAGATATAACCATTTACACACTACTAATTATAAAACCTCTTTTTATTACAAATTATAGTAACAAGTATACAAAATTTACTAATTATTAAAGTATTTTAATTATTGACTTGTACATTTGTATGCCCTAATTTATATCTATTTAGTTGTTGAGTATCTAAGAATTATACTTCATTATAACAATTGTAACTATTAATTATAATAACAATTTTTTGGAATTATTTTATTTGAATAATAATATTACATCATACTTACTTAATTTTAAGGAATAAGGAATAACAAACCTCTTAAATATAAAAATGCATGATTATTATATCTTTAATATTTTCATTAAATACTGATAAATACTATCAATGAATAAAAATATGAAAAAATAAAAACAAAAACCGGAGAACCGGACCAGAGCCGGAACCACCGGTTCCGAACCGGACTAGAACCGCCGGTTCCGAACCAGACTAGAACCGCTACTATGCGGTTCCGGTTCCGGTTTCATAATTTTCGGAACCACAAACCGGCGGTTCGGTTCCGATTCTTGTTCGGTTCCGATTCTAGTTCGGTTCCAGACCAAGAACATGTCTACGGCCCGGGACTGGGACCGGGATTCAGGACCGAACCGGTAGATTCAAATGGCGGGCTACGGGATCTAAAATGGTGGAGCGCCCCGGGTCCGAGCCCAATTTTTTTAAAAAAAAATTTCCTCATTAAAATTAATTTGAAAATACCAAAAAAAAAATTCTTGACCCGGCCTGACCGGTACAAACCCGAGCCGGTACCGGGCCTGAATAAGTTGGACCCGGAACCCGCCCCAGCCCGACCCTGACCCAGTCCACCCCTACTTCTCCATGACCCATTTTAGAAGGAGATATTGGACCGACTGAAGTCATACTATACGTGACGTGGCTAAAGGTAGGAGAACGTAACAAGAACTTGGGGAGTTGGTGGTTGGTGCCATAAGAAGAACATGAGAGGTTGGGGAGGGAAGTTGTGGACTTATAACTATAATTAAGTGGGGACAAGAGTGAGCAGGTTTATGGAGTGGTTGGGGAGGGAGGACAGGGAAGTTGAGCTGAGAGGGGGATGGGTGATGCATGTCAATGAAGTTTGTTGAACCAAAGGGTATCATGTGGGAAGGAAAAGGATTGAGAAAATTCCCACAATAAGGGTAAAATAGGTTTGTCATAATTTTTCTATATAAGAATAATTATTGTCGAGTTTGAAAAATATTGTTATGTTTAAAGTTCGATACTGTCAAAGTATGACATTAATTACTCCTATTTAAAGAATAAAAATATGAAAATCCTATTTTGATATACACAAACTTTTTTACTCTTATTTTGGACAATTCTGCAAAAAGCTCGTAGCAATTAAGGGAGGGGATGGCAATACAGAAAAGGCGGCTCAGGAAGGGGTATTGGAAAGGTTATGTGTGCTTCTCCTAAGAAAAGAGATTTGAGAAAGGAATAGTTCCTTTTGTACATGTCGGATGACTTGCATGCCATTTATACGAAGTTTTGTTTGTGCATAGGTAATTTTTTTCAATTTAATTTTTTTGTCTGTTTTACAAACAAAAACCTTAAAAACAAAATAAAAATTGTCCATAAACAAACAAAACCGAGCGTTTAAATGGCATGTAAGCTACCGGGCGTGTACACAAAGCAGAGTCGTTGAGAAAGACGGGGAGGTACGGTTGTGATGGCTTCACCGTAATTAGACTCTGCCCGTCTTGTGTTATAGGCCCACAGAATGCACATTGTATTGATTTGTGTAAGTTGGGACTGTTGGGCTTTGCAAAATATTGGCACTTCAAGTTTTTAGAAACTTGGTCCATTCCAAGAGGTTGTTTTCACTCCCCGTGATGGATTCTTTTTTGTTTTCTAATAGTTATGTTGTTTTGAAAAAATTTAAAGACAAATTCATGTACTACCGTCTACAAATGCAATATCCAAATGTATGGAGTATAACTTAATTCAATGCATTTTAGCATACGAGGGCACTCAATTTATGCATTTTAGCATACGAGGGCACTTAATTAATGTATGGAGTACCATTTAGTAGGATGTCTTGACCACAATTTTGAGTAGGTGTGTGGCTCTATTTTATTTACCGATCATTTTTGTTGTACCCACTTTTATACACATCATGTCTGTGAATTCGATTCTCATACGAAATATGTCTTCTTTTGTCTGTGCAAAATTTGTATATAAAAAAATGTCTTGCACAAACATGATAAATATAAAAGTGAATATAAAGGTGGGTAAAAAAAAACATTTTTGTTTATTACCGATCAAATTCGAGGCCGAGCTATTGAGTTGTTGATTTAAGTGTAAACAAATGGTACAAAATAGTCAAATAAAGAGGACAAACACTCGAATAGTACAAAAGCTTAAAATGCGTCATTGGTAGTAGCATAATGGTCCACAAAATAGTGGTCCTAGAAATTCCGTCCGTCGATCATGATTAAGGACAGCCATTTTTAAATTAAAGGACCAAAAATCTGCTCTTGTACTGATTAAATTACTAAAGGACACTCCCCTATTTCGTACTAACACACTTTTTTTTGTTTATAATAAGAGTAATGATCTTGATAGGTAGTTCTCACCAATATCGTCATTTGAACTTTTCAATTTGAGATGCTTCCCATGAAATTTTTGGATGAAAATGTTCTTAATCAAGATAGATTATGTCCAATAAAATTCATCTTAAAATTCAATCAAAAAATCAGTTAAATAAATTATTGAAAAATATTGCGTTAAAATTTATACAAAAAATACATTGTTTTCAAATAATAAAATTAACTGACTTTCCGATCGAATTTTAAACTGAAATTTTATGAACATAACTTAAGTTCCAAGTACATGCTAAAAAATTTTATTCACTAAAACTAAAAGGAAATAGAATAAAAGCAAGACTAATAGTGAGTAAAAATTATACTCCGTACTATCTATCTATGTATCAAGTGACCTAGGCTTCGGTGTAGCTCATTATCAATAATTGGCAATTTAAAATTCTAGAAACTACGGCCGATATGTACAAACACAAGACAAAAGTCAAGGTTTCAAGAATAAAATTTTTGTATGAAAAAGTGAAAGTTATTGGTAAATTCAATCTTTTTTTTTTTGACGAGTACAATTTTAATAACAGCTACTCTGTATGTTTTAGGGAGGACTATAATATATTCAATACAATCTAAAATTGATTAAGGAAAAGAAATTTGTGTTCTTAATTTATACATAATGAAATATATATTCAGAATTTTGTAATACAATTGATTATAATTTAGTACTAACAATATTACTATTTTATTGTAATAAATTTTCTTAAACGTAATTTGATAAAAAAATATTGTAAAAATATATCTTCAATCAATAGTTCCACATGATAGATAAGTCTTCTGGCTAAGTTATCAATTAATAGAAAAATGTATTATTTAAATCACACATTTTTACACTCTTGAAGGGAAGAAGAATAGATTTACTCCCTCCGTTCCTAAAAATTCTTCCCGGTTTGACTTGGCACGCTTATTAAGAAAGTGGAATAAAGTGGAAATGTATGGTTGTGATTGTGTAAGAAAAAGTTAAAATGAATGTGAGCCACACAAATTGTCCAAAAGAGGAAAGTGGGAAGTATTTTTGGGAATAGCCCAAAAAGGAAAGTGAGAAGTATTTTTGGGAACGGAGGGAAGTATAAAAGTAGGTTTTCTATTTTATGTACTACAAAGATAATTGTTCAAAAAAATATAATTTGATACTTTTAATTAACTATTATATATATATATATATATATATATATATATATATATATATTATTACTCTCTCCGTCCCGTAATGAACTTCTCGCTTTCCTTTTTTGGATGTCCCAGAAACAAGTTCTCATTTCCTTAAATGACAAGTTAATCTACATTAAAACAATGTCAAACATTGCAAAACAGTGCCAAACAGTATCAAAACAGTGCAAAACAGTGTCAAACAGACACTGTGTCAAAACAGTAAAATTTACCCCATGCTAAGTTTATTTCCATAATATGTATGTAGGTAAAACTGTGAAGTTCATTGTGCGACGAAGGGAGTATATCGTAGAAAACATTACTAATTTCAGAATTAGTGAGGTGATCGTTTTGCTTTAATAATATAATTAAGTAATGGTTTAAAGAGACAAACAAACTATAGCCGATGGTGGAATCAATAATGCAAGACATAGGCATCATATTGCACGGTGGCATCGCCGGTTTTGAAATCAACCCAGTGAGTCCTGGCCTCAACGTAGCCGCGAGCGAACCGGAAAAGCCCACTCCCGCCGACGATGGATATCTCCCGGACTTTGTGAAACGCCGGATTCCGGCCGAGCACAGTGAGGGTGCTGCCGTTGTACTTGCCCTCAATGAAAGCCAGGTTCATCACCATCAAGAACCCAAGCTCTTCCTGACCCGCTGCAGCATAAATCCCCTGCGCTCTTCCAACGCACTTGGAGCCCAGATCCGGCCCTATGGTTAGCGGGTTGTCGATTATGTTTCTGCCCGAAGACAGTCATCGGCGAAGAGTTTTTCGCCGGCGGGATGACTATGATCGAGGTTGGCTTGGTCCCGCTAAGAACGTCATGCCAATAGAAGCGGAAATGACTCGATTTTTCCTTCTTGATTCCAAGAGATTTCCGGTCTACCGGCTTTCCGAAGATTTGCTCTTCTCCGGTAGCGGGAGAAGTGATCAGAAAGAAGAAGAAAAAGGCAAGGGAGATGCTAAAAATGGGAAGAGTCATCGGATTCTTTGCCATGGCTAAGAGCTAGTTAACTTAGCTTAGTTAAGTGCTTAACTGCACGCTTGGAATCACTTGGGAGTTTGGACTACATAAACAGTTGTGCACTACTTGGGTATATATAGAGACGCAAGAGATACCATAATACCTCTCTGTCTGCTAATTGCAACGTACATGTGAGTTTAACGCCGGATTTAAGAAAATAAAGCGATTGTTTTACAATTTTAATATCTAAAAAATAAGAAAGAATAAGATGTTCCCACGAAAAGTAAAGCGCAAAATGATAGATAAAAGGATACAGGGAAGAAAGTAAAAAGTTAGTGAAGAAAGTAAAAAATGTTCATAATATTGAAGCAACCCAAAGAAAAGGTATCATACAAATGAAACGAAGGAAGTACCGGTACAAAGAAATAATTACATACACCTGAGCAGTGGAGGAGCTGGGGGGCAAGGGGGGCAAGCGCCCCCGCTCCGACTAATTTTTTTTACTAGTATTACTTATAATATGTTTCTTGCCCCGGTTTCTTTTTTAATTTTAAAAACAATAAGTACAATTTAAGGTTATTTTAAGATGAAGTGTTAAAATAAATAAAAAAGTATTTTCAGAAAAAGTAAAAAAAATGAAATATAGAATAAAAAGGGATTAATGTATGTAATACATTTGGCATCCCAATTTGCCAATAATTTGGAGTAGCTCAGTGGAGACAGGTAACACGCTCCCTTCGTATCACCCGTGTTCGAATCCCCCCCAGGACGGATTAAATTAAACTTGTTTTGCTTTTCTTCCGCCCCAATTCTTCCAATTTTATTTTCTTCAGCCTACAACTCGTCCCACACCGGATGAAATAGAGGATTCACTCCTCATTTGAGCCTATATAATCGCTCATTCATAGTTGATAAAGATTAAGTTGCTAGTAAAGCTTGAGTGCAAGTATTAGCTACAATATAAACAAATATTGAATACCCATTCGGTTTTTGTGAAAAACCCGAATAACCGGACCGAAAATTCGGTGTCCGAAAAATTGGGTCCCAACTTAGATCGGTTCGGTTTCGGGTTATAGAATATACGAAACCGAAAGATCGGTTCGGTTCGGATATTTCCTATTTTGGTTCGGTTCCCGAACCGAATCCAGCCCTAGTTCTCACTTCTCCCCATTTGTTCTCAGATTCTGCAATTTTCAAGTAAGTTTCTCATCTGCCAATTTATGCCCATATTAATTATTTGCTCTCATGCCTAACGAAAAGTCAGAAATTATTTGTGTGAATCCTCAAATCTCAGTTCTAGATGCAATTTAATGCTATTTGTATAAGGAACATTTTTAATTCATACTTATTTTTGTTATATTTAGGAGTATGAGTTTGGATAAATTTGTAATTAAGACTAAGAGGTCTTTGATTGGAGGTGTTAGTTCTTCAATTGTTCCTAATCAGTCTATCTCTAGTGTTGAAAATGCCACTGCGTCAAATGAAAATATTGCCAGAGATGAGAGGAATGAGAGGGACAAGAGAGCCCGAACAGAAAGTACACATGAATGGGATATTATTAGTGATCCATTTTTACGAAAACCAATTAATGAATATGCGCCGGGGATTAGGGATGATGTGATGAGAGCATATGTTGTTAAAGGTGCTTGTCAACCAGCATCTCATAAGTTTCCACGAACTGAATTTGGTAAGACATTAAGGAGTGATGGATAGTCTACCCGGGGGGTATATATCTGAGGGGTTATTGCTGAGAATAACTTAGAGAGAAGTCAGAGCAAAAGTAAGTAAGAGAGAGAGAGTGTATTCAGTCTGAATGTCGTGGTTACAAATGGGGAAATGGGGGGCTATTTATAGTAGCAATAAATGCCGGACAGGGACACGTGTCAAGCATCCATTGGTCGAGAGGTCACCTCATCCGGTTGGCGCTGGCAAACACATGTGGCCGCATTTAATGCGGCTGTTGGATGGGACGTTGCACAGGGTACGGTGATCTGTACGCGCGTGAAGAGGAGATCTTGTCGAGTGAGATGCCTACGGCTGTAGAGCAGTAGCCGAGGGCTTCTCAAACCGAGGGCACCCCGGTGCCGAGGGCTCCTGATGCCGAGGGCTACTGTTCTCGCCGTTTTCTCCCAGTTTCTTGGTTTGCTTGAGAAACCCGTCCTGTGAGAGTTTAGAGCCTTCGGCCAGGGGGTCGAAGGCACCCCTGGTGCGCTGTGGGCTGCTTGGTACTCCGAGCGCCATGATTTGGGCCTGTTGGGCCTTCTGGGCCTGTTGGGCCTTTACTGGAGTAGTGGGAGTCTGTGGGCCGGGGGTTCCCGGGCCATATACTCCATCAGGAGTCCCTCACTCCTTTTGCCGAAAGGTACTTGAGGGAAAAGGAGTAATTTGTGCTTGCCCTTTGATGTTGTCCTGTCGTAACCTCTGAAGTTGGTGAGGAGTTGTTGCTTTCACGCCCCTGCCGAAGGCAGTCCCTCAGTTACCCACATGTCGGGACTTGAGGGCTCGCTTTGCCGTTTTGTTGGAATTTTTCACCCAATTGTTAATTTAATGATTTTCCCGAGGGGGTTCTCTAGTCCCCCACTCCTTGAGGCACTTGTAAAGTGGTGAAAAGGAGTAGAGTAGTTGCGTTGCTGTTGTGGGCCGAAGGCTGACGCTTTTCGTTTCATTTTGGGGGGATGCCTCGTTAAAAACCTCATTAGGAAAAACCCTGTGGGAAAAAATCCTAGTGAGGGAAAAAGAGTGCACCGAATTCCCCCAATGATGAATCGAAAATGTGAAACCTTGGTCAAAAATGGAGAATAACGGTAATGCCGAAGGCTCTTCTTCTTCTGAGTGCTCATGTATTGATTGGCCGAAGGCTTGCTGTTGATGTCCTGGGGGCTCCGAAGGGGAGCCCCTAAATGTGGGGATCGAGGGCCTGATGGATGAGGGCAGCAGTGGAGTTGTTACCGGGGGGTCCACTGTTTGTTGATTAGTTGGTGATGAAGATACCCGAGGGCTCCCCATTACCTGTGTGCCATAGGCTATCCGTCAATGAGGCAACTCCCCGGGGGCTACCCGGTTTTTATAGTGCTGAGGGGGAATCCCCTAGGGGTGCCCTGATATGAAGCCTTGGTTTTCTGAAGGAGTGATCCCGAAGGCGTCTGTTATGTGCTGTGTGGGGCACAACCCAGGGGCGTCTCTGGGTAAGTGTACCCGGAGGCTCTCCTTGATGAAGTGGAGTGAAGTAGAAAACCCGGGGGCTTCCAGAATATAGCCGTTAGAAATATAGCCGTTAGAAATATAGCCGTTGGAATATGTAGCATCAGATTTATAGCCGTTGGGGGGGGGTACACGTGGAGTGTAGCCGTTGGCTGCTCGTGGGCGGGCATCACCGGTTGGGTGAAACGACGGTGCGTAATGATGGCTTTGGCTGCTGGGAGTCCGGATCTCGGCCCAAGCCCGGATCTGGGAGCCTATAAATACCCCAAGCCAAGGCCATTCCTTCTTTACGCATCCAACATCCCTAGCGAAGCTCTGCCAAAAATTCTAGAGAGAGAAACTCAAGCCTTCGGTCAAAACTCAGCTTTCAGAGGTCAGTTCTCCTTCCGCCCTTAGCTCCATTTGAGTATTTAGCTTTTGGCCTTAGGGTTAGTCTTTAGGACCCTTCAGGAACCCCCCCTTTGTACGAGTTTCCCGACCCCTCGCCTTTTAGAAGTAATGTCGTCAGCTAGTGATTCCCAAGACATCTCCGGGGAGGCTTCAGTGAACGTTGAAGTGCCGTCTGACGTGGAATCCTCGAGCGAGCAGCTCTCGGTCATCGATGATAGGGCCGTGGCCGAGGCGATACAGGGTGACCTTCGGCTTGAGCTCGAGGCCGAAGACTTCGAGCAGGTGAACGCGGATGAGGAGCTTGCTATCGCCTGTCAAGTGGCCGAGGACGAGGCCCAGAAGGAAGGCCTGAAGGTGACTGTAGCTATCCCTCCCCCTAGGTGTGGTACTGAAGCTGGGAGCTCCCGGCCTATAGACGCCGTACCCCTCAGTGTGGCCCCAGGGCAGAAGAGAAAGAAGGCGAGGATGGCTCCGAAGAAGAAGCAAGCTGCCGTCGACGCTGGCCAGCCACTGGGACTGCCCGAGGGCTATTCTTTCCTGAATACGGCCGCCTTGGAGGTCAAGAATAAAGCTACCCGAGGGGAAATGATGGCGGTACATATTTTGGTAGGGCCTTCGGCGCAAGTGGTAGAGCCAATGCCGGATGATGTGCTCTTTCGTGCCCCCGACGGCTGTTTTGCCGTACATCTGCTTTCGGTGGAGCTGGGTCTCAGATTTCCCCTTCATCCTTTCGTGTTGGAGTACCTACGCTTCATCAAGCTAGCCCCCTGCCAGTTGACCCCGAACAGTCACTCATATCTGGCAGGGTTCCTGTCACTGTGCCTCAGCCGAAGGGTCCCCCCTACTCTGGAGCAATTCTTCCTGTCGTTCAACTTATGTCGGGGGGGGGGGGGGGGCATTCGAATGCCGAGGGCTATGGTAATTTGCATCAGCTCCCGAGGTTCAGGATTTTTGATGAGGCGCCTTCGTCTCACAAGGGGTGGAAGGACAAGTTATGTTATATCCGGTTGGCCGAGAACCCCTTCTCCGCCCCGCTTGGTGATAGGTTTCGGCGGCACCTGAAGGCAGAAGGGTATGCCCTCGAAAAAAATGGGCGGGTGTTGTCCAAGAAGCCGGAGGGTTCCGATAAGCATGTGTCCATCAAAAGCGCAACGCTCTCCAGTGAGTTGTACAAGCTCGGCTTCCGTCGGTACCGGCTAATGGGGGAGAAGGAGGAAGGCTACGCCATGATTGATCGCGTATATGAGAGTGCCGAAGGTTGTTGTAATGCCGAGGGCTTCAATTTTCATACTTAGAAAAATCTCTTCCCCCTTTTTTTTTGCTTTGTTGTAGTAGTGAACTAACCCTTGTGTGCCTTCTTGTGTTTCAGGACCAGACATGGACGCTCGGAACCTTGTCAAGCTGAAGAGGCAACTTGTCAGGGAGGAGCAGAAAAAGGAGGCCCCCGCACAGCAGAGGGCGGTCGATGAGATCTTCCCCAAGGCGGGAGCGGCCGAAGAGGCCAAGGAGGTGGGGCCCGTCCCGGAGGCCGCCGTCGGGGGCTCCCCCGGTCTGGAGCCGAAGAGGAAA